ACAGGCAAGACCTGTGCATTGTTTTTAACCAACACACTATGGCAAAAGTGACACAATGACATTATATAAGACTGCAATGTCCACTTTGGGAAGTGACTAGTCTCTTTGCTGGCTTTGATAAAGCATGAGGCCATGCCAGGACCATGGATCAGGGCTGCTTCCAGTCACCAATCAGCTAGGAACTGAGGGTGCCTTTCAGCCAACAGCCAACAATCCTGCCAGCCTGGAAGCAGATCCTTTCCCAGCTGAGCCTTCAGATGAAAAGTCAGCCCCAGATGATACCTTGATTGCAGCTTTACTGAGGACCTTGAGAGCTGGTACCAAGGGAAAGTGTTAGGTAATAACTCTGTGTGGTAGTTTGTGACATGGTAATTGACAATTAATGAGCACAATCACAAGGCCATAGGAGGTTCCTCCCAGGTATCAGTTCATTGAATCCTCAAAGCACCAGTAATGTAGGTACTATTATTATCTTATTCATGTTATAGGTAAGGAAGGGACCTGAAACCTAGAGGATTTATTCTACCTATCCACGACCACAGCCAGTAAGTGGTAAAGTCAAAATTCAAATCAGGCTGACTCCAGATTCTGCTCTCTTTACCTGGTTTGTGCTATCTTCCCATTCTGCCTCCTTTAATCTAGCCATTGTCCTGCTCAAAAACTTTCAGTGAATTCGCTCTTTGCTGGAAGCAATGGCTTCTATCACCTGAGAGGTCTCAAAGTATTACAAACTCAAATTGCTCACACTTGGTAGCACTTGTGCTGCAATACTTAAATCCTCCCAACAAACCTATGATGTAGCAAGTATTTCCCCCTCCCCCATTTGAAATATGAGAGCATAGAGACACAGAAGGATTAAGTTTTGTGCCCAATGTCATTCAGGAGGAAGTGGAGGAGTCGCTAATCAAACAAATCAACTCCAGCCCCTGAGATTGCCTCTATAACCACTATGCAATCTACATTGTGATTAGGATATCAAAGTTTGGGAATAATGAATTTGTTCATAATGAACCAGATGGGATCCATGGCTATGAAAATGTCATCCTCACTCACTTACCTTCCTATCTCCTCCCTTGAATAAAAGAGAAATTACACTGGAGCATGCAAAACACTGGCTCTTCCCATAGACACGGGTTGTGATATGAACACCATCCATCAGATGTGTCAAGACTGAAGAAATTTATAAACCACTGACTCAAAGATTCAGTCCTTTATTTCTCTACCTTGTATTCAAGATGCTCCATGACTCAGCCATGACCTGTAATTCCCATTTCAAATCTTGCAACTCCCCCTTCCTTAAATCCATACTCCATCTAAGCCAAACTTCTCACCCATGCTCCACAATGCCTCAGCTCACCCTGGCTTTTCCCACTTCCTTATTATCACATGTCCAAATGCGGTCTACCATCCAAGGGCCACATGACATTCTCTCTTAGAATAGTTTCCCATTTCCTGCCCTCAATCTCCTTGTCATGAACATTCAAGTTGAAAGCAAAGCTTTTCATCTCCTTTGCTTTGGCATAAGATGCAACTCTCTTCTCCTTCATGTCACAGTTACCAATGCACTGAGGATGACCACAATGACAACAGAACAACTCATTTTCTCTGAATAAGTGTGCTGCACCAGGCACAGTGCTAAATGGCCCCAAGCATCTTTTCACTTAAAGATATCTCTGTCATGGGTCATCTCTGTCATTATTCCCCAATTGACAGGCAACCCTCATGCTTTGGCATAAAAAGGACAGTGTTTGCAGAGAAATGATCAACTTTTTCCTGAAGATCACTGTTCCACAGAATTCCAGAAGCCTCACCCTTTTAGCTTCATTCCATTCTTTGCACATCAAAGCTGCATGAAAAAAAGATTCTCCCACTTTCAGCCTGAGCTGACCCTTCCCCAGTGGGAAAAAGAAGCGTTAAAATGCAGTGGGAGTCCACTGACCTCTCTTCTCTCATATCTCTGTGAGTTCAAGCATAGATTCCAGTCAAGAGTGAATGTGTGTCCTTATTTTTCAATCTGACAGTGCTATTTGTGGGACTTGAACCTCAACATCTTTGGGGAACTTTGTGCTCTTCCATCTGAACTAGGGCATATCTATACTTTCCTGATGCAAAATAGTTATTAAATAGGTAGTAATAATTATGTCCTCCCTATTGTGAGCTGAATGCATTATATGTAACTTTTAATCCCTTAAAAAAAAGACATTAGCTAGTGAACAGGGCTGTGGGTTCCAAAATCTATATTTGCAACCAAAATGTTATATATAGTATAGACAGTTATAAAATAAAGTAAGCGAAACTTCCCCAAAGGAAACACCCCTTCAGTTACTTAAGAACTCTTCCACAGAAGAAAAATAATAGGAACAAAAATAAGACCCAATATTTATAAAGTGTATATTAAGGCTGACTACCATATGAAAAGCTATTACCCTTACCTTCAAATTTTCATTTATTCTACAATGGACTCAAAAAGCTAGATCACCATTATACCCACTATATGTGAGGAAAACACAACTCAAAGAGATTAAGAATTTGTCTAAGGTCAGAGAGAGAACAAGTGGAGAGACAGAACCCTGTGAACCTATAAGTTAAGTCTGTGATCTTAACCACAGTACTAAAATGTGCAGTGGTGTGTATGAGAGAACAGATGAGTCTGGTACTCAGTCTCTTAGTAAATTACATTTGATTAAGAAAAAAAAAATATGAGCCAACAGACAAAAAAGGTTCCCACTACCCTTTTCAAATGATTAAGTATTAAAAGTAATTTTAATTGAAACAATAACATTACAAGTGTATAATAAGTCAAATTATTGTTAATCATCCTATTTAAATATCATTTAAAATATCTTTTAAAAGAATCCATATGCCTTAGAGAGAGACAAGCTAGAATGTATATAAATAAAATGCAATTAGCTTCAAAACATGGCGCAAAGCTGGATGTGCACGGAAAAGACTGGCAATGAATTAACGTTGCTGAGGCTGGCTGGCTGATGTGAGAGGTTCAATATACTTATAATTTTTGTATGTGCTTGATATTTTTTATAATAAACAATTCCTTAAACATGAAATAAGGAAACTATAGAAATAAAAATTGAATTCTCCTCTCTTGACCCCAGATTGGTTCCCTATCTCTCTTCCCCCAAAACAAACAATGTTTGGTTTCTAGTGCATTGGTGTGGAACTTTCCATTTGTACCCAAAGGAGTGTGTTTGTCCTTCCCTTTGTTTTCCCCAAGTAACAAACAACACACCCCAGAACCTTCTGCAGCCCCTCTGTGTGCTTTTCCCACTCTTACATTCTGTCACCTGTTCATTTCCTTCTTCGTACTTGACAGCACTCATACCTGCTGGCATAATCACATGCTTAAGCTTTGAGATAGAAGTAAAAGTCATGTGATGTGAATTTGGCAACTTTAAAGTGGACAATTCTGTGTACGTTCATAGTGCTGTGACACCCTTATGTCCATCACCTTAAAAGAAAGTCATGCACCCATTGAACAGTCTCATCTTTTCCCCTTACCCAAACCCCGGCAGGTGTAATCTGTTTTCTGTCTGTGTGTTTTGGTCTATCCTGCATAGTTCATATAAATGGAATCATACCGTGTGTGGCCATTGTGCCTGGTTTCTTTCATCAGATGTAAGGTTTTGCAGGTCCATCCAAGTTGTACCCTAATTCTATGTATGATATACCACATTTTCTGTCCCCATTCATCAACTGATTGACATTTGGGCTGTTTCTGCCTTTTAGCGATTGTGAATAGCACCACTATGAGCCTCCATGTGTAGGTGTTTGTATGAATTCTGGCTCGATTATTTGGGGCCTATGCCAGGTGTGGAATTTCTGGGTCATGTGGTAATCCCGTGCCTAACGTTTTAAGGAACACCAAACTGTATTGCCCAGTGGCTCGCCATTTGCATTCCCACCAGCAATAGGCGAGTTCCAACATCTCCACGTCCTTGCCTTTGCTTGTCGTTCTTTGTTTGTTGCTTGTCTTCTGCACACTGGACTTTGACCAGCCCCTCCACTTAATGGCAGACTCAAGGAGGTCAGGGCTCCATGCTTCCATTACCACCGCCTCCCCAACGCAAGCACAAGGGCCTTCCTGCACGTTTTCTCAAAGAATGAAAGACCCAGTCACATAGCAAAGCACCCCGTAACAACTAAGGAATCTCTGCATGCATTCTAAAAGCAGCGGATGAATCATTGCATGTCCTCCTCACCATTGCTTTCAGAGCTGGCCTGACCACATCTCAGCCCCAAATCCCCCGTTAGCTCTGCTTTCCTCACTGTCAGTCAAAACCTTGCAGTGGTCTGACAAGTGCTACATGCTCTGCCCCCTCCCATACACCCCTTCAGCAGCTCTGGGAGCCTCTCCTCCATGTTTCTCCCTGCTCACTCCACTCTTGCTATGCTGTTCTTCAGTCTTTCCAAGCTCTTCCCTCCCTATGGGACTTTACACACCTCTGCCTTCCGTCTAAGGAGCTCTCCCCCAAAATATCCAGGTGGCTTTGTCCCTGTCCTCCTTAAGTCTTTGCTTAAGGGAACTGTGTTCCCATGGGGACTTTCATTGACCACACTGATTGAAATCGCGTGCGCACGTGTGTGCACACACACTCAGGTCCTGCATTAGCACAGCCTGCCCCTCCCTCTCCCTGCCTCTTTTTTTCTTTCCTTAGCACTTAGCCTCAGATGAGTGTGTTACTTATCCATTGTTCATGTCAGCCCACAGCGTCTTCCCAAGGTCAGAGATGTCCATCTGTCTTCATCCATTCTGTATCCTCAGCTCTGCACATGGTAGCTGGTCCTTCAGAACACTGCATGTGAATGAAGGGAGGCATGCTGAGGCTCAGACTCCCTTCCCACAGAGCCTCACCCTGCTGTGACATGAATTCCCAACGCCGGCACATCTCCTCTCTGCTCCTGGAGAGGACTGCTTCTGGCCTGGACACATTGCCCGGTGAATTCCAGGCTAGGCTGTCACCTACATGAAGCCTAGAAAGGATGGGTCAGCCCTCCTGCCTTTGGACCTCCACCAGTTAGTCCTGCACTGGCCTGGGTAGCCTTAGGCATGGTGAAGGAGACGACTGCCCCCATTCTCCTTCTAGGAGGGTTTACAGGCTGGTCACAGGTAGAAAGGGGCTGTACATGTGCAGATGCACACACACACTCTCACATGCACTCACACTCACACTGCAGGCATGAGGACCACGTCATGGTGACGTGTGTAGATAGCACCTTTCCACACAGTGACCTGAGCTCTCAGGAAGCCTTGATGATAACCCCAACCACCTGATGTGGCTCAGTCTGTCAGGCTCTGGAGTCAAAGTGCACTGCTGGTCAAGTCCCAGCTGGATGGCCACAGACACATCCCCAACCTCATAGTCTCACTTTCTGCATAAACAAAATGAGAGTGGTGGCAGCACCCCCTCACAGAGAGGCGATGGGGTCAAAACAAGAACCATTATGTGGGACACTCAGCACTATACTTGCTCATAGGGGGCTCACATACTGGACTACTTGTTTAACATCAAATCTGTGTTAAGCAGCCCCGTGTGATGGTGCACACCTGCAGTCCCAGTTACTTGGCTGGCATAGTCAGGAGGATTGAGATCCAAGGCCAGCTCTGGGCAGAATCGTGAGATTCTCTGAAAAACAACTAAAGCAAAAAGGGCTGGAGGCATGGTTCAAGCAGTAGAGTGCTTGCCTGGCAAACCAGAGGCTCCAAGTTCAAATCCCAGTACTACCAAAAAAATAAAAGTCTGTGCTGAACACTGTGCCACTCCTTGCTCACCGCTGCAGAAGATACAGACCTGACCAGAGTTTCTTGGAGGAAGACAAATGTTAATTTTGCATATATCTGTGGGACCATGAGGTTAAAAACTCAAACATTCTGAAGAAAAAGAAATAGTCTTCTGGCAGGTGACATATTCTAATCCAGTGCAATCAGAGACTTCTTCCTGGAGGAGTTGACACTCAAGTAGAGACTAAGGAAAAGCACTAGTTAATGGAGTACAGAGAGTCGAAAAGCAAGGGACTGAGTTCATCCTTCTGGGTGCAGGGTCAACAAGTACTGCTTTGCTCAGGACTTCCTGGTTCTAGCACTGAAATTTCCACAGCCCAAGGAACTCCTCAATCCCAGGCCAACAAGGATGATTGGTCACCTTAGGTCAGGAGAATTGTATAACAAAGGCAGTGGGAGATCATGTCTCATTTTAGAAACTAACAGAAAGCAAGTTTGGCTAGAACAGAGATTGGTGTGATATGAGAGGCAGAAAAGCCTTCTTCTGAAGACTCTGTGCATCAATATTCAAGAATTTTCTCTTACTCTGAGGAGAAATAGGGAGCCATGGAAGAGTTTAAGCAGGGAGATGACATGCACAAAGGTGGGATTTTATAAAGTTTACAGCAGCTGCTGCATAGAGAATGAACAGGAAGTAGCTGGAAGCAAGAGAGAGGGTAATGGGCTCAGCAAACACCAGTTCTGGTTAACACAATTGTCATGGTTTCAAAGAGGAAATAGGCCCTGGTGACAGATCAAGAATTCCCATATTGATTGGGGGTGCTTGGGCTATTGGGGTGCAGCTGTAGAAAATCTAGCAAAGAGAATCACCCTGCATTTTCCATCACAAGGACTTCAGAGAACAAGGAACCAAGGCCTGAATTACACTTTGACATGGGTCAGCAATAACAGAGTCCCCCATTGTGAAGGACTGAAGTCAGTCAAAAATTTAATTTTTTAAATAAGTAGAATAGAAAAGTGGAAACACTGGCAGAAACAAGCATTTGAAAAGGGAAGTCACTCAGAAATGTCTTGTATTTCCTGTCTGTTCCATTAATGACTTTTGTAAACTGTCTCCCAAAGGAATTTCTCTTAGATACACTAATGCCACTCCAGGTCTCTGAAACTCTGTGCTTCAGTAGCAGAATTTTCTGCTACTTTATCTAAATCAAACACCCCTACAGATATGAGAGGCAAAAAGCAACAAGGAATGCCCTCTTGATTCCTATGTCAGATGGCAATGGTGATAACCCCATAGTCTCTTGTCTCTGCTAGGACCGTTCTCAGCCTCTGGACCCATGAGCACCCTGCTTTCTGGCTGAGATCTTCATCCTTTAGGAATCAGTTATCAAATGTTGCTCCCAGGCTAGATTAGAGATTTCTTCTGCCCATAACACCAGAGCACCCCGTGTCCCCAGACAGAGCACTATCAGGCTTATTGTGGTGCTGAGATTCTCCTCCTCCCTCTCTAGTGCCTGCTTAATGAGAGGGACTCTGGGGACCTTTGTCTCAATTGCATTTCCAGTGCGTAATCCACATGCATAATGAGCACATGTCACTGGCTCAAGCTTCCTGTCCAGGTGCTGTACTACGTGACATGCTCTGGGAAGATTTCCTCATCCCATTCCATCCCGCTCCGTGGCTCCATGAAGAGGATGTAACCAGCGGTTGGACTGAGAACCTGATAATCCCAGGCTCCGTGACTCTGCCAAGATCACACTGATAATAAATGGCTGGATGCTGACAGGAACCCAGTGTGCAACTCCAAATCCTAGGGTTTGAACCAGTTCTCCTCTGAGTCAGAGAGAAGTACTGTAGGATGCAGAGACAAGTTTTGACTTCAACTTTTCCATCTTTTTTAATCTCATTGGGTAAAGTATCTTAGCTTTCTCCACCAAGTTCAGAATAAAACCGAGGCCAGGTAAATATGCGTGTGTGTGTGTCTGTGTGTCTGTGTCTGTGTGTGTGTGTGTATTAAATTGTACAGAGTAAGGGGTCTGTTTTGACACTTCCACACATGCATCTAATGTGCTTTGACCATATTACTCCCCTCTAACTCCATCTTCCCTCTCTCCATCACTTTCTCTTGTGCTAAGTTTGTCCTCAGGAAAAAGCTATTTGTCACTAATGACCTGAAGTCTGTTTAATGGGTAATCGAAGCCCTTCCTGATCCTGAGCCACCTCACAGTATAGTGAGGAGAGGAGCTGGGAAATGAGACCATTGAGGGGGCCCAGCTCCAGGCAGTGCAGGTCGGAGTAGGAGCCTCCTTCAGGGTGTTAAGGGCACCTCCCAGGTCAGTGACAGAGGCAGAGATTCATGGAGGATAAGGGAACGGAGCAAACAGAGAGAGGCTGGGAGGGGAAGTGGGGAGGCTAGCATGCCAGGTCCTATGGCAGGGCCATCACCCAGGAAAGGCTGGAGAAGCCATGGGAGTCTGGTCACCATCCTGGAGAGGCCACTTCTCCCCACCACAGCCCTGCCTGGCACCAGAGGAGGGTCTGGTCTGCAACCATGTGGCACTTGCTGACTGCTGAAAGCACTCTCAACCTGGGCCATTTAGCTAGGACTCCTGAACACTGGGCAGGACTTTGCACCAGCTTCACAAATGCCTGCTGGAGCCCAGTCCCAACCATACCCTCAGGACAACTGCAAATTCCACAGACGTCACCTAGCTTCTAGCAGCCAGGCAGGAGTGGTACCTGGGGAAGAGAAGGCCAGGTCAGCACTCACACGTGGCCCATGGAACACTTCGTCTGATGCAGTCACCAAGGAGACTTTTAATTAAAAATGATTACGAACTGCAGCTTCAGAGCAAACCAAGGGGACATTTATCCCAGGGCACCTCAGAGAACTGAGTAGGAATGTTGGGCATCTGTAAGGACCCGTGTGGCACCTATGTGTCCCCAATGCCTGCAGCTACAGAACTCTATCCTGAGGAAGCTTCTGGCTCACGGATGTTTCATTTGTCCCATAAGCGTTTTGGAAAACTTTGAATTAGATACCAACGTGTACAATCAAGAGGGCTCATCGAAAAATAAATCTAGATTTCCAATGGCTTCTTTCAAAATCAGAGAATCTGACAATAAAAATTCCACATTTTACATGGCAGCTCCGTCCTTTAGGTGGGACAGTGAGGCTGTTTGCTCCAGTCTCTTTTTTTTTTATTATTATTCATATGTGCATACAAGGCTTGGGTCATTTCTCCCCCCTGCCCCCACCCCCTCCCTTACCACCCACTCCGCCCCCTTCCTCTCCCCTCCACCCCCCCAATACCCAGCAGAAACTATTTTGCCCTTATTTCTAATTTTGTTGTAGAGAGAGTATAAGCAATAATAGGAAGGAACAAGGGTTTTTGCTGGTTGAGATAAGGATAGCTATACAGGGCATTAACTCACATTGATTTCCTGTGCGTGGGTGTTACCTTCTAAGTTAATTCTTCTTGAACTAACCTTTTCTCTAGTACCTGTTCCCCTTTTCCTATTGGCCTCAGTTGCTTTAAGGTATCTGCTTTAGTTTCTCTGTGTTGAGGGCAACAAATGCTAGCTAATTTTTTAGGTGTCTTACCTATCCAGTCTCCTTGATACCCAGCCTCACTGACTGAAGCCAGCAGTCAGTGTCCCCTCTGTTGCCATTGAAGTGAGAAATGATTCTGTGGCCAGACCACCAGCAGTCAGAGAATGAAAGAGGCTGGAAAAAGTCTGCCTTTCTCCAATCCGCCTTTTCCTCCTGTGAGCAAGTCCCCTTGTCCACCCATGTCCCCTCCTCCATGTTGCTCTCAGTACACTTCAGTGGGGCTAGGGGTCACACACTGCTCAGTTGCCCATTTTAAAAAATCCCTGTTGATCAAGGAGTCTTTACCCAGCATGCCATCACTTATGGACTGAACTGTGCTCTCCCAAACTGATTATGTGAAGTCTTGACCCCAAATGTGACTGTATTTGGGGATAGGGCTTTTGAAGAGGACAAAAGTGTGAACCCTAATCCAACAAGACTGGTGTCCATCTACAAAAAGAAAGAGACCCCAAGAGTATGCATGTAGAGGAAAGGCCAATGAAGAACTTGGTCTGGAGAAGACAGCCATGTGCAGGTCAAGGAGACACCTCAGGAGAAACCAGTCTTGTCACCTCTGGGTCCTGGGTTTTCAGTGTCCAACACAAGGAAAGACAAACTGAGGTTGTTTAAGCCCCCAGGTCACAGGTTTCTGTTATGGCAGCCTGGGGCACAGGCAGATGCTGTGTAGCCAGAGTTTCGAGGTAAACTTTGCCTCTCCAGAATATGCCCCAGGTCTCATTTCTAAAGTCAGACTGTCCAGAGTTCTTGGCTCTGCCACTGCCTTGCAGACCCAGAGTGGAGCTCAGGGATCCAGAGAGGTCATTATCACTGTGGGGGACCCTGTGCCAAGGTAGTGCTGGGAGAACATGGTTCCCTAAATGCCACCAACAGTGAAGTCTCAGAGCGGTCAGTGAGAGGGCATGAACAATCGACTGTGAGTACTGTTCACTGAGTGTGTTCCTTCATCAAATAATTGAAGGGGTGAAAACACCCATTTCCCTCTCTGCTATAGTTCATGGCCTCTCTAGTACACAAAGGCTCTGGCATATGGCAAAGATTGTAGAGGAAATGAGAAAAGGCACAGGGAGAGAGAAAGCCGAAAAGTGTAGGCAAGGAGGAAAAGGAGGAAATGAACTTCCCAGCGTTCACTGCAGCTACTGACCCCCTTTCAGGGCCATCACAAGTCATTTTCCTTCGGGAGCCACCGTTCCCTACCCTCAGTCTGAGACTTTTGGGCAGGGCTGACTTTATCTGTAACGGAGGAGGAGCATGGTGCCATTCAGCATAATCCACTGGCCATATGACCAGTTCAGGCTCTATACTGAGCTAAGTTCATCCCACTACAGTGAATCCCTGAAACTCCTGGGTGCTCCTTAAAAGAAAATCTCCCTTATTCTGCCAGATATGAACTAGAGAAGGGATAAATTTAGAGGAGGATTCCTGAAATTATTAGGGGCCAACAAAGGAGGAAGTCCTACTAAGGAGATTTAAGCTATTAATAAGCTATTAGAGCCGTCCGATGGAGAAAGCATTCTGTTGCTATCACTTAAACCCCTGGATCCAGCTATACCTGAAGGCAGTGCCCCATGAACTTTTTAGTTTCTTGAGCCAATTACTTTTTTAATTAAATCAGTTATGATGTGGATTTCTATCATCTGTAATTGAAATGACCCTGACTAATGAAGACAATCTTAAATTATCTTTGCTTGAAGGTAGAATACAAAACAAAGAAAGTCAAAATCATGAATTACAAATCCTTGGTCACACAAAATATCTACTATTTTTGAACCCTGACTATATGAAAGTCTCTAGGCCAGGCCCTTAACACACATTGGCATTATTTCTTGAAACACCCTTGCCATGAAAACTTCTGGCTAGCCAAACAACACTCTGATCCTCTGGTTTGTTTGTTTTTTTTAAAGTAAGATAAATAAACATCCACATTTCTAATACCCAACACCTTCTCTTGGTCTTTCTAAATGAATTTTGTGTCTCAGCTACCATTCTTTGTGTCAGAGGGAAGAAAAACACAAACGCAAGAGAATCGCCACATAAATCAATCTTCATTCCATTTCAAAGCTGGCAAGATTTTTCCAGACATTCCAAAGACCTCCTTTCTTGAGTGAAATACTACATTTATTTAATAAAGCAGGGAGGATTTACTATCTGGGCACAGGTAAGCACTTTTTATTTTTCACAAGATAGATGACAGCTGCTGAAGGCTTTTTCTCCCTCCTTTCTACTTTTTTCTTCTCCTCTCTCTTTTGCTACGACTGTACAACTTTCCTGACACAATTGAATTACCAAACTGAGCCAAAGAAAGATGGTCCCTACGGGGGTGCTGTGCAGGTTGCAGGCTTTACTTCCCTTTAAAAATGGCTTTAAAGAATTAGAAATAAATGTTATCAACTGTGGTTTTAAATGATGCTGACTTACTGCAACCCACACACACACACACACAACTCAGCTGAACTTGCTGGAGACAGGAGGAGGGAAACGGCTTAATGACAAACAGGACATTCTGCAAGCATCCCCCTCGCCAAGTTCAACAAATGAAGACAAAGGCTAAAGGGGGAGATTTTGGTCCCTTGGCTTACATGGAGTTAAAGAATCAGAGACACTTTAAAAAGAGTCACCCGTGGAGGAGAGAAAGCAGCTGAGAGGGGAAGAAAAGCAGTTTGTTTTCATTTGCTGCCAGCAAGACAGAAGGTGAGAGTTTCTCTCTCGACATCTTCACCCATAAGTTGGGCAGTGAGCCAGTTTGCACTTTGGCTGAAAAACTCCAATTAAAAATGTATGACTTTGGTCTTCCAGAGAGGAGAGGCAAAAATTCAGCACTGGGCTATGCAAACAGCAGAGGCAGCAGAAGCAAGCCGAAGGCCCTCCCTCCCGAACTTGCCACTGGCTGTCTAGGAAACAGTGCCGCTAATTCTGGACAGAAATGGGGAGATGCCAAGGCAGATGCCCCTGCCATCACCAGGGCACACGGCTTCATCGTGGCCCCAGTCTGTGATTCCACAACAGGCCACCTCAGGTGCTCAACGAACCATTTTCAACTCAAAACACACCTCCAGTTACTTGTGTGCATTCACATGTGCACATGGACACCTAGGTGCACACGAATACAGACGTACACACACACACACATTCACACACACACACAGACATACGGGCAGCTTCTTAATGGTATTGTCCTCAACATGTTCTTGATGCCCCAGATCACGGGGTATCTGAGCTGTGTCCTTCTCCTCCTTTGGTCTTTTCACACCTTGGTCAAGGCTAAGCAGTGCCTGTATTGGTCTTTTTCATTTCTGAATCCCTGGCACTTGGTGAATGGTAAATGCTCCTATATTTATTTAATAAATAGGCAAAAATCCCCTATTTTCCATGACTTCCTCTCCTGTGAGCATCCCACATTCCTGAGACTCTCCCCTCCCATCCTGCTCTTTACCTCTCTCACCGTGTTTCTCTTCCACCCCGCCCAATCATCAGCGGAGAAGCTTCCTGGAGATTTCATGAAGGGGAGAGGCACCCACAAGTTGAGGGTGAATCTTCTCCCCTGGTACCTTCTCCAAAGCACAGTCCCTCTTCAGCATCTGGCCTCCCAGCAAGCAATGGTTCTTGCTCCTCTCTACTCTGAGACAAAGAGCAATTGCGCTGTGCCCTAAACCTGCATTTTAGCTTTCATCAAAATGAAAGAACCTGCACTAGCAAGGACCTAATGGCAGCTTGTGGACCATTAACTACCCCGAAAGTCTAATCTCTCATGCTGATGACTGATTAAAATGCTTCCTCCAAAATTCCAGAGCTCCAAACCTAAACAAGGTTCTGATCAATGAAATCTTACCAGTTTTTAAACATTAAGTTTTACTATTCACAGCTAGCTCCCCTAAAGTACAAGAATGTCTTTGATTACTTCTGTTGATGCAGAGTCTTACTGGTGAACCCTGAGGACTGATTGTCTATTCCAGTAGTCACCATCCTTGAATCCATCAGAATTCCCTTTTGATGGTTTACCTTGGATATAAAAAGCTTCCCTAAGATGTTTGCTTTCCTTTCTTAGTTTATTTATTGACCAATTAGTTGTTCTTTATTAACTAAGCTCAAAGATCTCCACTTATTAGCATTCTGTCACGTAATTTCACCCTTCCAAAGATAGCTAGACATACTGACTTGCTTCTGATGAATAGAACATGACAAAATGATCAGCTGTTTCTTCTGAGAGATTAAAAAACTTGTGACTTTCACCTTTCTGGACACTTACTGCCATTTCAGCTATACACTTTGATGAAGCTGCCGTGATGGAGGAGCCCAAATGCAGCAAAGAACTGAATTCTACTCACTAAGCCTATGCTTGCTTACCAAAATCCTGAGACACCCCAAACAACTAAAACCAATGATCCCTGGATTATCCTTCTATCAAGACTTTAGGGACATACTAGCTTTCCCAGATATTATTTAAGCCACTAATCTTTGCTAAATAAAGTGCTGCAGCCATTATGGAAGACTGCCATTCTTCTGCCAGATAAACCCTCCTGATGTAGCCATCTCATTCTGTAAATTGCCTGACTGGACCCCTTTTTTATTTGCTACTAGTAAGCAGAAGCTTTAATCCCTAAGAAGTCTACAAGGTTAGAGTTTTGAGGAGCCATGTCTCATGGAAAAATCTACTTTGGAAACTTATCAATTACTATATTGGTCAGGTCCAATATAGGGACTACATGACTAGTCCCTAGATATTTCAGTTTCCAATGTTGAGAGAGGAATTTCACCTAAGCCCTTTAAGTAGCACTGTCATGTATACATAAAGCAGCACCTAGCCTTCCACCACCTTCAGAGAAGGGCTGGCCTCTGAGTTGCTGAGAACAATGAACCCAGACTCAAGCTGTCCATCCTTAGGGTCTATTCTACCCCAAGGCCCTGTCCTTCCTAGGGAAAACTAAAATTGGTAGGTGGGCAAGATGGGTAGAGTTATAGAGGCCTAGCCATGTGGCCCAAATGCAGGACACTTGGATGGGCCGTGTTTGATCCAGAGCTCACCACTGGGGCAAAAGAAGCATCTCAGTTTGATATTTCCTTCTGCCCATTGCTGCTTCCTCTGCCTTCCTTACCAGTGTTGATCTCTCATAAATATTTTAGATCCCAAACTCTGTCTGGGTATCCACTCTCTGTGAACGTAAGCAGTGATATCACCATTAGAAAGTCCCTCTTTAAAATCCCATTCCCTAGGAACTAGCAGAGTTTGCTTCTCTCTGTTTCACCAAGTGGTTCTGTCTCCATGATCTAGCTTTATGGTCACCACCTCCTCAAGCTAGCAAAGTAGCAATCTCCTTTGTACCAGGGACTGTCTCTTCTAACGTCTTGTGCTCAAACTATGACCCAGGAATCAGCAATATCAGTTAGTGGATTTTCTTAGTAATGTTCAACCTCTGCCCCTTCCAGACTTGATGGGGTCAGAATTGGAATTTTAACAAGAACACATCAAAGTTGATAAGCATTTTTCTATTAGTGGTTTCTGCCTTTAACTTCCTAGTGTACATCTGAGCTTGTGGGAAGGAAACCAACTTAGTCCTGCTGACTGACTTAGTCTACTTTATATGTGGGAAGAGAGAGGTCAAGGAAGAGAACAAAGCTTTCAGGTTTATCCTACTGATCAGAGTATAGGACTATGTAGTTTTGAAGAAAAGACAGGAAATGCAAAGGAAGATGGGCAGCATCCCCACTAGTTATTAGAGGTGCAGTCCTAGGGAAGTTTCTCATTTAACCACACTGCCCTGGCTCCCTTAGACAAGTTCTCCTCGCATCAGACAGGCTTCGTTGTTCATCCATTCCCCTGAAGCCTCACCAATTGTCTGACTCCTAAATAAAAGAATGAATGATAGAAGTCTGCTAAGACTCCAATACAGAGAGGATGGTCAAATAAGCCAACCCTATGAGGTGTGACTACTAGCCTCTGAGTCAAGTCATGTGACTGAGGATTCAGGCATTTATCACGTCAACACGGCAAGGAGACAGAGACCTGTAAAGAGCTGCAGGTCAGCTTTCAAAGAGGAATTTTAATGAACTGCCCATACTTCATCATTTTGATAATCACAGAAATTAGAGGAGGAAATGAAAAGCTTGACAGGTCATCTAGCCCATGTGGAACCCTCTCTAGTGTATAACTTGTAGGGTTTTATCACACTGCCTGGTCGAAATGATTTTTGAAAATTAGGGATCAGTTCACACTTGCTCTTTGCTTCTTCTCCTACATAGGTCACAGTCCAAATTCTGCTCTGCTCATCTGTAATGTATTTCTTGAAGGCAAAAGTGAAGTGTTACTCTGAAATAAGATGTCATATTTGTTTTAAGTCATGTGTCATCCAGATGGGCTTGGGCACGCAAACAGCAGTAGAATACAAGTCTCAATGCTGAACACATGAGGTATTTAATTTTTGCTCCCATGGCATGCCCAACACAATTTAGCAGGGAGTCATGTTGATCTTCACTCGGACCACAGGCTAATGAAGATATTTCTATTTGTTCTTCCCTGGTCATCAAAGGACAAAGATGGAACAAGGCTAATTGCACCTGTGTCTTCCTTGAAGCAGTATGTATAACTTCTGCTCTCATTTCATTGCCAATCGTACAGCCTACCTTGGCATAGAATGGAGAGAAGTATCATAGGCAGCATGAGTGATTGCCGTAAGAAAGAAATCAACAATGGCTAAATGGTCAACCTCATTCTCAAAGGCCACTTGATGATAAGAACAGGGCCCTATACGTGGACTTTTGCAAAAAAATATCCACTTCTCTCAGTAGATTATTTATTGGCTTTTACAATGGTTAATTTTATATGAACCTGAGTAGGCCACAGGATGCCCAGCTAGCTGTCTAAACTTTAGTTCTCAGTGTGCCTGTGAGCATATTTCTAGAAGAGATGAGCACTTGAATTTGTGGACTGAGTAAAGCAGATGGCCTTCCCCCAATGCAGTGAGCAGCATCCAAGCCCTCAAGGGCCTAGATAGAACAGAAAGGTGAAAGCAGGTTGAACGCACTTTCTACCAACTGTTGAGTGGGACCATCCATCTTCTCCTGCCCTCCGGCCTTTAGACTCAGGTGGAATCTGCATAATTACTCCCTAGCTCTTAGGCCATCCAGATATTCCACCCACCTCTCAGGTCTCCAGCTTGCAGTTGGAAGACTTCAGGAATTTTCAGCCTCCACAATCATATGAGACAATGTCTTTAATAAATCTCTTTATAGGTATGTCTCCTATTGGTTCTGTTTCCTCTGAAGAATCCTGACTAACACAACCCCTACTATGTCAAGATTTGCAGTGACAAGAGAAAGAGAGGCATTTGATGACAGAGGCTGTATTTAAAAGAGGGAGACAGAGGAAAAGTTGACAGATAACAGAGAAGTTATGAAGCATATATACAAGGTAGGTGTGGGGGGTTGATCTTTTGTGTGTGTGTGTGTGTGTGTGTGGCCACTGTATTTCTGGTACCCAGGCAGGGTGAGGAAGGGATCCACAGGTACAGCAAACCTACCTGAGAGGCTTAAGCCTACTGGTAAGAAGAATGTTGGCATGAGGGGAGAGACCTGATGCCAGGGGTGGTGTCTAAGCAGCTGAGGAAGGCTCCCACGTGTGTGTGGGGAGTGGGGAAGAGCCTAACATGAGAAGGTGGATGCTCTCCTCATAGGGAAAGGGGTAGTGATAGAAACAGGACATTAGTTAGATGTAGGATTGATCAATGAGTAAATTAAGAACCATGAGAGCCTGCATTTTATTTTATTTTTTTCAAGAAGTGAGATACAAATTGGAAAAAGAGAAACCGAAAATGAACTATATTTGGAGGATATTGGAGCAAATACATCATTTGGATGGATGGATGGATGGATGGGAGAATAGATGGGTATGTGTTTATATTCCCTAGGTTGTCCACTCAGAATATGTAAGAGCACCAATACAGTGGCAATAAGCACACCTAGCTTGCAAGTCTTGACTTATAAGTCTTCCACAAAAATAAGCCAGAGCCCTGGAGAAATGGCTCTCCTCTGCTAGAAGAGAGAAAGGGCAAGGTAACCCAAGACATCTTTTTGTGCTCAAGAGAAAGTGCTCGAAGAATGATGGAAACATGTTTTATAAACGAAACCAAAATAAAGGAGGTTCTCTGAACAAAATGGGCACAATTTAAGCATTCAAACAAATGATAGTAATGGATTATAATCCAGTGAATAAACTCCAAAACCCGAGGTACATTCAAGTATAAACAATCAGACAGACACACAGTTTGGTGAAAAATGGGACTTTTATGTGGTCACAAGGATCCTCCCCACAAAACGCCTCTTAATTCCAAGGGGGAAATAAGTAACAATAGTAGACAAGCCCAGAAGGTACCACCCCTAATGACCAGGGGGGACATTGTCAGTAATGGGGACAGCTTTACATTGTGTGCCTTTCTGAAGTGTCCGAAATTGACAGCATGCCCATTGCAATGAGAAAGAGTTTTGTTTTCCAGGCTTTTGTGAGCTCTCCAGCGTGTGGCTTCCCAGTCCCAGTCTTGCAGAGGGCACAACCTCACATGGGCAGCAAGATGAGGACAGGAGACCCAAGGGACAGAGCACGACTCTGCATCTTCGGGGGCACTGACTTTGTGTTGTTTTTCCTGGAGCACTGAAGATATCTTGAGCACCCCCCAAGGGGCAGCCTGTATATTTAACCTCACAATTAGCAGGCATCTGTGAATATTGAGTGCATTAATCACTGGCTGCCCGGGCCCCCTTCCTGGGCTTTCCTCAAAGCAATTTAAGGCTGGTTCCTATTCAGCAAGAGCTGCAGCATGTGGAAAGCCAGGCAGCCGGGTGTTCTCTCAGGGCTGTTGGTTTGTCTGTCCTAGGGGTTGAGGCCAGGGAACTGATAAGGAGCCTCCTCTCTCCTGCTGTCACTCATAACCAGAGGGGCGGGCGGGCTGGGGAGAGACAGTCACTGATCTTCTGGCAAATGCTGCATTGAGAGGTTCTCTCTTGCATCAGTAACTCCATCAGCTCCAAATGGCTCTTGTTGACAATGCCAGAGCAAATTCTCAGTGTTCTTATCTGGAACTTGGGGCAGACTTTGTAATGAATTTCAAATGAAAAGATGAGTTAAATTCAAATTCTTTTTTTTTTTCCTGCAATGCTGGGATCTAACTAAAACCTTGCACGTGGTAGGCAAGCACTCTGACACTGAGCTATATCTCAGCCCACAGTCAAATTCTTACCTGGGACTGAATGATGGCAAATTTGAAAAGTCTCTCTACCTAGCTGGT